TCCTGGCAGCTGGGCACAGAGCTTTCCTAGGCTGGAAATTCTGCTCCAAATTTGCAGTTTTCCCCTGCAGACTTTTCTGTCCTGGCAGCTGGGCACAGAGCTTTCCTAGGCTGGAAATTCTGCTCCAAATTTGCAGTTTTCCCCTGCAGACTGTTTTCTGTGCTGGCACCTGGGCACAGAGCTTTCCTAGGCTGGAAATTCTGCTCCAAATTCACAGTTTTGCCCCGTGTAGTCTGTTTTTCCTGATGGTAGCTGGGCACAGAGGTTTCCTAGGCTGGAAATTCTGCTCCAAATTTGCAGTTTTGCCCCTTGCAGAGTGTTTTCTGTGCTGGTAGCTGGGCACAGAGGTTTTCTAGGCTGGAAATTCTGCTCCAAATTTGCAGTTTTCCCTCTGCAGAGTGTTTTCTGTGCTGGCAGCTGGGCACAGACCTTTCCTAGGCTGGAAATTCTGCTCCAAATTCACAGTTTTGCCCCATGTAGTCTGTTTTTCCTGATGGTAGCTGGGCACAGAGGTTTCCTAGGCTGGAAATTCTGCTTCAAATTTGCAGTTTTGCCCCTTGCAGAGTGTTTTCTGTGCTGGCAGCTGGGCACAGAGGTTTTCTAGGCTGGAAATTCTGCTCCAAATTTGCAGTTTTCCCCTGCAGAGTGTTTTCTGTGCTGGCAGCTGGGCACAGAGGTTTTCTAGGCTAGAAATTCTACTCCAAATTTGCAGTTTTCCCTCTGCAGAGTGTTTTCTGTGCTGGCAGCTGGGCACAGAACTTTCCTAGGCTGGAAATTCTGCTCCAAATTTGCAATTTTCCCCCATTCAGACTGTTTTCTGTGCTGGCAGCTGGGCACAGAGCTTTCCTAGGCTGGAAATTCTGCTCCAAATTTGCAATTTTCCCTCATTCAGGCTGTTTTCTGTGCTCGGAGCTGGGCAGTGTTGGATGTGCCGGGCCCTGAGAGCTGAGGGCCGGAGGCGGCCGGGATGGGAACGGCCTGGCCCAAAAGCACTTGAAATACTTGTGACTGTGTTTGATAAGATTAGCGCAGGCACTGCTATGTGGCATTGTTTGGGCAAAATCCGCACTTCTCAGAGGGTTTTTTTGTTCGGCGGTCATGCGGTGGAGCTGGGTGCAGATGAATGTCAGCTGCTGTGGGTCTGTCTGTCTGTCCGGCAGCCGCAGCGCGATCCCGCTTCCTTCGCTCGGTTAAAAACTCCATCGAGGTCTTTGTTGCAAGGAAACGCTTTGTCACCGAAGTTGTTAATGTCTTTGCAGTTGTTGTTTACCAAAATACTTGACTAAGACAGCTAAACAACTTCTGTTTCATATGTCTTGCTGTTTTCTTTAGTGATGTGTGTCTGCGTGTTAAATAAAGGGTATTTTCGGCTTTACTTCTCTTAGACTGACATAGATGCTTATAGTTCTGGAGCTTTTGGAGTGCCATAATTGAGCTTTTCAAATTCCATGATTTGATTTTTTTTCCTCCCTTTTTTTTATTTCCCCCAAGGATGAGTGTAGATTTTAAAGACATGTGCTGGAGAACCTGTGTGTAAGGAAGCAATGTGAAAAAAGTGAGGTTAAAATCACGAAGAGCATCTAATTTCTACTTTGAGGAGGTTAAAACAGACTCATATTTAGACAGTGACTTGATTAGAGTGCTTTATTTTGAATTAATGTACGAGTTACTGCACTTCAGGCACTTTTATTCCAGCATAGTGTGTCTGTCCAGTAAGTTAATAAAAACAGAGTGGAAAACTCTCCATCTGGTAAAGCTGTAAGTTTCAAGGAAAATGAAGAGCATTTAAGAATCTGTCAAAATCAGTAAAAATGCATTTAAAGTGCTAGTTAGATGCTCCTGAAAAAACTTCAGAATTTCTGATAAAACAAATCTGTAGTGGAGTGGTAATGTTTCAAACAACTGAGCCTGAAGAATATTTTTACCTCTTTTTCTTATTGTTCATCCTTAGTTGTTTTAGTATTTTTTCCAGTCTGCGTAATGAAAAACAATTAGATTGACCTCATTTCACGATTCTCAGTTCCAGGATCTCAACAGATAATATTTGCATTGGAAAAAACCTGTGCAGAGCAGTGGGTTTTTTGGGTGAAAGCAATTCTTTCCAGTGGTATTTCTAAGATAATGACTGCAGTTCTGTATGTCTGTTTGGGTAGCAGCCTGGTTCTATACTGAGCAGAGTTTTAACTTTCCTTTTTTTTCTTGAGCCTCTAATCCCTCTTGCTAGGCTGTAGCATTTGTTTAGGCACTGGTGGTGTTTATAGTTAGTTTATATTCCCACAGGAGCTTAACAGGTAGTGTTTGGAGGAAGCTTTTCAGCCTGGATGTGTTTTGGTGAGCACGGAGCTCTCCTGTTTCAGCAAGAACTGTGTATGGAAGTAATGTTTAATGCTGTAGAGCTGTAAGATGATCACCTTAAAGACAGTGGGCCCCTCTGAAGGTACAGCATTGGCAAGGGTTAGTAAAGTTATTGGAATGACACTACATCAGTACACACACAACCTCAGAAAAGAAGGATTTGCAAGTATATACTTCCATCTAATCTTTCTATGTTTGCTTTTGGAAGATGCTGTCTGTCTTGTAGGAAGCTACTTGCTCATCACTTATTCTTGCAGATTATCAAGGTTACAATCTGTTGCCTGAAAAATCAAAATGAGATTTTAAAAGACATAAATCAGATTATAAAATGCTGTATCTGTTCGTTTTAGAGGACCAAGAAAATGTTACTGAAGCCCTGAAATGTTGAGGTCTGTGTTAGCCACTGGACACGGTGCTGAAGGAGACAAAAAAGAGCTGGAGAGCTTTTCTTTGTTCCTTGGGTGCACAAAACAGTGAAAACTGGTATCATTTGTTGGTACCACTAACAATACACCCCTGTAAAAAATTGCAGAGAGCTTTAGGAGCTTTTTTTCATGGCAGTGAGTAGAGTGTAGCTCTGAGCTACACTCTACACAGAGCTCTAAGGCAAACATGAAAACTCCTTTGCCTTTGGGTAGCCTGGCTGTGTCAGTGAAGAGATGCCCTCTTGATTAAATCCAGACTGAGCAGTTTCCTGTTAGCATGAAACTCAGCCCACAAGGTCTTGTTCTCAAAGCCTGTTATGGAGCTTGTCTGCCAAGTCCCTTTTCCTTTTAAACTTTCAGGCAGAATTGCTAAAATAATACAAATGAAGCAATCCCAGAACTTTCACAATGATTTCTAACAGCCTGATATTTTGCTGACAAAGTTTTAGATTTTTCAGAAACTGGGTTGGTTTTGTTTAGCTTTGGTGGGATTTTTTGGGGGGTTTTGTTTCTTTTTAACATTCTCCCAACATGATGTCTTGGAGAAGTTGTAGTGTTGCAATTAGTGGAAAATTTTGTGCGTGTATCAGTCTTGGAAGCAGATTCTGCCCTTGTTTTGAATATACTAACATGGGAGAATGAGAGGCTTTTATGTGCCGGGAGTGAATGTGCCCATAAACCATTACACTGTGAGTGGGGCAATCTGCTGGATCAAAAATTAAGAGTTAAATACAGTGGTGCAGACTTTCTTCTCTGTCTGAAAGTGGTTGTATTGTGTAATGAGTTATTTTCAAAAGTGTATCACAATTGTAAAATGAAGAGTTAGCAATAAAATTGCAATTTTTTTATGCTACAAAGTTTTGCTTAAAGAAAATTTGAATGTAAGAGAGGTACATAGGGGTGGCATCATATTCTGTTAATAATTTTTCTGTAATGACAGTGTCAAATGTAATTCCAGATGCACTTTTAGTTAATTTTTGTAATTCATATATTTCCAGATGCACCTTTAAGTCAGACACATTACAAGTTACACACCTTTTAAAGATCTGTGGAACAAAATGTAGCAAAATATTTCCCTGTCTAATCTGTTTTTATTTTTTTTGTTTTTTAATACAGACAGCAATGTTGTATTTTAATGTTGCAGCAAGGGTTTGTTGGATCTCCTGAAGCTGGGAAATGAGATAGCAGAGCTTTGTAAATAATATTAGCAACAGAACTTTAGAATGATGTTAAAGACATCTATATTGTTTAAAACTGGAAAGGATGTCTATTAGAAACAATTCCAAAGCAGTGGAGGGTAGTGATGTAAATAGGAAGTGGGTGGGGTATCTCTTTAAATTATCTTATTAATAGATTATTTTTTTCCTTTTGTTTTGTCAGTATCCCGAGCCAGGGTTGGTAGTGACTGTCATTATTAACATGCTGTCTTTGTGCCCTCACTATCAAGATGTTTGAGTAAATATTGGACATTTTTTTATTTATAATCCCATTTTTTATCCACATACTTTACAAAATAGAGTCAGGAAAATACTTTTCTGAACTGCCCTCTAAATAATGACATAATTTAAGGAATTGTTCTTTCAGATTCAAAGCAGGCTGTAAGCATTTAAAACAAATGCTGTTTAAAAAACAAACCCACACACAATCCCAAACCCTAGATTTATGGACAAATATTGTGCCAAATGAAATCTCTTAAGAGAAAATTGGAATGTTTGCAAGATGAGTTTCACACCATCCCTGCAAAAAGTGTCTTGAAATGTTTTTGCACCAAATGTGTTCTGACCTTGGGTCCTGTGTGACACCCCAAAGTTGGTATTTTCAGCAAGGGAATTGCAAATGTCAGTGCTTAAGTTATGGTCAGTTTTCATGTTCATTCAGAAGTTAAATGAAACACTGAATTATCACTTTTATTCCCTTCAGTAATGTTACTCTTTGTGGGATAATGGATTGTCTTTTAGATATTAATGTATGGTGGAATCATGACTTGATAGTGGTCACACTGTAAAATGTTTTTTTTTGAGCACGTCAGAGAAATGTTTTAAAATAAAGTTACTTAAAAACTCCATTATTTGATACAGCATTCGGTGCTTAGAGAGCACCAAAAGTTGACAAAATTATTTAGTAACTGATGATGGCCAATTCCTGTGCAAATATAGGATTTGATCTATGTCAGGGATCTGTCTCCTGCCTGATTTTTGTGCTTTTTGTTTCCTTTTGTAGGGTGAAGGAGACCAGTTACCCCCAGAGCACACTGTCAGGCAGTATGAAACATCCAAGATCAGGGCTATAAAAGCTGGAACTTTGGAGAAACTGGTGGAGAACCTTCTCACAGCTTTTGGAGATGCAGATTTTTCCTACATCAGCATCTTCCTAGCAACATACAGGGCCTTTGCTTCTCCCAGGGCAGTGCTGGAGCTTCTTCTGGACAGGTAAGAGCCACTGCTGTGGAAATTTCCAGTGGAAATGGACCCATCCTTTACACCACAGGGGAAAGCTGCCAGGAGCTTCTTCCCTTGCTTTTAGTGGGCATGGATTTAATAACCTGTTGTCAAGAATATTGCAAAATCCAGAATTTCAGCATAAAGATCCAGTCTATTAATGCGTTGCTGCTCACATCCCAACACTCATCAAAGCATAGGTGAGGAAAGTGTGCCATGTCTGGCTGCTAAAGAACACAGCAAAATTAATTCAAGTTTCCTCCAAAAACCCAACAGAATGCATGGGCTGCAAAGTCATACCTAGAATAGATTCCAAAATTTTATTGGTTACCAGTGTTTTCAGACCTGTCTCTCCTGTTTGGGGGCTGCTGATTCAGAACAGGGATTGTAGAAACACAAAAAGAATTTGCTCTCCTGTTCTATTACATCACATGAACATGCAGCCATAAATTTCTGCTGGCAGCCCAAGAACTGCTCAATGTTATAAGAATAACTTTCATGGTCAGACTGTTAAATCATGGCAGCTGGGTCTGCATAAATGCTTGGGACACACAGCATTAGTTTCTCACCCCAAATTCTAACTGAGACATGGCTGGGTCAGGGGTACTCCTATTTTGGGAGTGTCATATTTGTTGCACTTTAAAAATCTGTGATTCACAGAAATGGTTGCTCTGGCATGAAGTAATTAGAAGAGAGAAGGGGCATAAGAGCTCCTAGGGTTTAATTTTGTGCTAGGGTTTAATTTTGTACTATCTCCCACTAGGTAGATAAAGAACAAGGCATTGACAAATTATCTGTGCTTTTCTTTTCTACCTGGAAATGATAGTCCTGGCTGCTTTGTAGGAAAGCTGTGTGGCTCAGTTAGTAAAGATAATAATAATAATAATCTGAGCATCAGGTAAGCAGTCAGCTGAGAAAGGAGCAGCCATCCTGGAGAGCAGACTTGGTTACAGTGACATTGACTGTTGTGTGCTTTATCCCTCAGTCCATCCCAATTCTGGTTCAAAATGTGAGAAATGATAAAAATTGGCAGTGGATGGGTACAAGAATATAACAACATTGAGGCTCTAAGGAAGCTGGCCCTGACTTCCTCCTCTCACACTGATTTAAAGAGGTGAAAATGTCTGGAGAGGGCAGGAGAACTGTCTCCATAGAACAGAACTCTCTTTTCTGAGCCCATTTTTGATCTTGCTGGCTTGTGTACCTCTCTGAGGAGTTAGAATTTCCCCTTCAGAGGGATGGGCTGCCTGATTTTATCAGCATCACCTCCAGCCTTTTTTAATACGTGAGAGGATCCACAGGAAATCCTAGGAGGTTACACTTCCTTCCCTTCTCTCAAATCATAGGAGTGTAGTGCTTAAGAATCCATGGATGTTTCTCTTGACTTTTTGTGTATCATGGGTAGTCTAGAATTTTATGGCTTGGGAGAAAATGTAGATTAAATTTAAGCTATAAAATTTAGAATGATATACTTGTAGCTAGGAATATGGAATTGTGAAGAAAAGCAGATGTTATAAGGGAAAAAATTGAAAAAAAAGATGGATAGGAATTGATTTTAACCAGCTTGGTTTTTATCTCTAGATTAATTGAGAATAAGTAGCCCAGAGCCTGCATTTTTGCAACTTTGTTTTTAGTGATACTTGTTAATAATCAGAGACTAAAATGGGTATCAGCACATAATTTGTGTTTTGTTTTGTGTACCAGTGAAGTAATAATGAAAGAGGCATTCTCTTTAAAAAAAACCCAAAAAAACAAAAAACAAAAGCAGCACAGTTTTGGCATTTGTTGTCAGGTTTAGTTTCATCTGAAGGGTTTGAGCCCTGTCTCTTATTGTTGGGGATAGAGCAGGGTTGTGGAGTAAGGGAACAATTGGAAGTGCTGAGCTCTTGTTGTTTGGTCCAAGGGAGAACAGTGATGTGACCTGATCAAAAAAGGCCCTTCCAGCTTTTTACAGGTGAGCAGCTCCTTGGGAGAGAGGAGGAGGGAACAGCATCCACATCATTTGCAGGATATTTTATTTTGTAGGGACATAGTCACTGAAGAACCTCCTCCACAATGTATTTGTGGAAGCTGGATTACCCTCAAGCCCAGTGCATTCTCTTTCTGCTGGATTTGCTGCAGAATTGTCTGGTGAATGTGTTAGACTTAAACAAACCCAGCTTACACAAAAGTCCTAGGGCTCTTGGGAGAGCATCCTGGGAAATGTGCATGTCCTGTACCCTAAGAGTGTGGGGAAACCTGCTGGTCATTTGGTGCTGTCTGCAGAGCATCCTGTCCAAGCAGTGCAATGCTGACTGCATTTGGAGCAGGAAGCATTTATGGTGTCCAAAAGCAGGTCAGCTGCTGGAAATAAAAAAGTGGATGCTGTGCTTTAGAAAAACTTTAGTTTTAGAAACAGCTTAAGAAATCTGGTTGCATTTTTTAATTTTCTTTCCTCCAGGACTTCATGTTACCCTTTTGGTTTTGATACAATTTGAGACAGAAGCCCTATTAATTTTTTTTTAGCCAGATTCAGCCTATAAAGGTTTTCTTTTAAGATAGATTAGAAGTCACTAGACAAAATCTTAAGCATAGATTGGTATGTTGAGAAGTGAGTGGGATGACTTGTGTTTCCAAAGCCATTTAGGAGTAATTTAACATCCACATCCCTTTAGCATTCATGAGAGTTTGGCATCCAAGTGCAGCAGACAGCTTTGGAAATCTGCCAAGCTTTTAACACTGTGCATTCTGATATTTTCTATTCTTTGGTACAAGGGGGCAGGGAGAGTTTAAAGGAAAATATCCTGGTGGCATTTTGATGTGAAGGCTTTCCATGGAAGCTCCTGGAGGGAAGGAGAGCAGCTCCTCCTGGCCCTGGATGTGGGGATACAGTGTGGTGCCTTTGGCATTCCCAGGGGGGTATTCCAAAGTGTGATGGAAGCCAGAGGTGGTGAGCGATCCACATGAGGTTAGAAGGAGGCCAAATTCCTCTCTTCCATAATGTATTTTGCCCTGATAAGTGTGTTCCTCACAAGTGGAGCTGTGCTGTGCTTGGCACAGGCACAGAACAAGCAGCAACCAGTCCCTGTCTGGAGCAGTTTACAGAGGAGGGAATTGAGACTGTTTGGTGGGAGAGCTGGAGCTGGGGAATGACAGTGAAGAACAAGTTAGATTTATGTTTCCCATTCATTCCTTTTGCAGGGGGAGGGTCTGCTGCAGGGTAAATGGGAAGGACAGGAGGCAGAGGGGGAGTACTGAAGGAGTGGGTCCTACAGTAGCAGAGCCACACGTTTTGGGACAGCAGCTTTGGGGTGTTTGACTCACTGCTGTTCCTGTAGCATCTGTTATTTCAGCTCTTTCCTTTACATCAGGTGGCTGGTCTACTCAGCTAGAGAAGTGATTTCACTTCCATGACTCCATGTGTGTAGGAGTCAAACCACCTTATTTTTCCTGAGGATCTGGCCTTCCAAATTGCTTTTTTCAATGCTTACATGCTTATTTAGGGTTTTGTTTGGGGCCATTGCAGAGACCACCTTTCCTATTATTTCTGAGTTACTCAGAGTATTTTCCTCCTTCCCTCTTAACAGAGATGCAGGGATGCATTTTCCACTCTGTTTTCCAGTAATTAAACATTCAGTGTTACCCATTACATTCTGGTCTCATTTGCTTAGTCAGTTTGAGTGCAGTTTGTAACTTCCCAAATGCTAAGCAAGGCTGAAAAGTTCTGTGAGCTACAGGATCCTTTTGTTTCTCGTGTCTCTTTTTGTATGCAAAGCATTCCTACAAGGCTGGGCAGTGAAAGGCTCTTTGTCCGGGAGCTGGTGAGAACAGAGTGCTGGAAGGCTGCAGAAAGGCTGTTCCTCACATCACTTGTGTTGTTAACTCCTCCTAACCCGTATTTAATGACCTGTTGTTCATGGAGGGATGAGAGATAGGCAGAGGTTGTATCCTTCTCCAGTTTTGCACAGAAAATTGCCTGCTCTTTATTGCTGTCTTAAGGATTTCTGCTGTAAAACTCAGCTTGTGTCTCTAGTGGGATTTAAACACAAGTGCCTGATGTTCTGCAAAGACATATTTAATATTTCACTCAATAGTAGGACAGTGATGTTGGGACTCATCTCCATAAGTTTTCCTCCAAAAATTGACTGCAAACTTTGATAACTGAATATAAAAATCTAATTTTTATTTTTAAAAAATTCCCTGGCAGGGGAAAAGTGCCTTTTGTCTACTGGCCAAGGTGTGTTCTAGGCATTTTATAGAGCAGATGGCAATGGAGAGTGAAATCCTCTCCCTTTAACAACAGGTCTGGGATCCTTATATAGGAAGTCTTAGACCAATACTTGAGGGGAGCATAAAACTACCACCACTTCCATCCATTGAAATGTTTTTGGATGAGTTTGTGACAGTTCTGAACGAACCTTCAGGACACAGCTCACTGTGTTCTCTCTGATGTTACCAGGTTGTTGTAGCACAAGCACTTAAGGATGCACTTGTTTTAACTCTTCAGATTAATTGAGATGTGTAAACTTAAATGAATCAAATCAGCTTGTCTTATTCTGGACAGTGAGTAATCGTTCACCTTCATTAAACCTGCCTGGAGGGAGCCATGGGATTCCTCATGGGTAATTATGGAGCTGTATATCTGAAACAATGGGCACTCCTGCTGAAAATGAAGTGGATGATCCTGCCTGCAAGGCACAGGGTTGTGCCTTGTAGGTAAGAGATTTCCCTTTGGCACTGTTGGAGTTGTGCCCATGGCTCCCTCTTTTCCAGTGCTGTTTTCACAGCATCGTGGGCTTTTCTCACTGATATGGGGAGTTTGGGCACAAAGTGAGCACTTGCCATCTAGGAAACCTTGAGATAACTCTTGGAGCTTTAGGAATGGCAGGTGCTAGAGACACAGGAGCTGTATTGGAGAAGGTGGTTGTGTCACAGTCTCTTTGCACACTGAAACGTTGCCCTGGGAAAGGATGGAGTGAAAACAGGCAGAAGGGTCTTGGAGCTGTGAGCAGAGACACTGTTGTGGTTGATTCCTCCTGTGGGCAGGCTGCTTCATATAAATTAAAAAATTAGGTTGGATGATACTGGCTGTTTCTTTAGGATTTTTTCCCTCCTAAATGAAATAATCTTCAAGGTCCTTAATTCTGCCCACCTGTTAAGACTCCTTGTAGTTTGAGCTGGAAGTGCTTTGTAGTTGTTTATGGTAGTTGTATATGAATGATGCTATTTGGGATTTTGCTTTTATTCACTAGAGTTTCTTCTAAACATCCATCTCCTTTTTCAGGTTTGGCAACCTGGAGACCTCAAGCCAAGGAGAAGTGGCAAACCTGAATTCCTTGGAATCTGAGATGGTACTCAGGGCGTAAGTATGGATTTTCACTGTGGAGCAAGCTCCAGACAGGGTTTGGTCTTGGAGGAGGATGCAAGCAGCAGAGCTGTTGTTTCTGTTGAAAATTCACAGCACTGTTTGCATGCTTAAACAAGCTTGTGGAAAGGCCAAATACACATTGTCTTGTAACATATCCAATAATACAGTCCAGGCATCTTCTGCAGGGAAATTGTTTTGGAATTAAACATGAGATGAACACATCTAGGCCAGCATTTTGCTGATTAAACAAGCAAGGAGTGTTTGTTTCCTCTGCCTTATCTATGGCAGTAAGTGGTTATTGCTTATGAGTGATTTTTTTGTCATTACAGCAATGCCTGCAGAGCAAAGCTGAGGGTGACTCAGGCAACGTGTGTGCATGGATCTTTTCTGTTAGTACCCTGTGATTTACAGCGCTGCTTTTAGAGTGAAATTTAAATTCTGAGGTCACCCTCATTTGCAAAAGAAATAGCAAAGCTGTTCTGAACTGCAGTTTAAATGAGAAAAAGGTGGTTTGGCTATCCTCCTGGGGTTTTATCTTTAGACATTGGGTGTAAAATGTGCCTTAGGTCATCAGCATTTGTACTTTGACATCTGTGGTTTGCATGCACTGTGGCGTGCGTGGTTATATTTGATTACAGAATGAGGATGCTTGATTCTTGTCAGCATTACTGGTTTTCTGTTCCTCTTGCCCCATGGGACTTGACATAGGAGCTCAACCCTCAGTCTCTCCTGACTGGTAAAATGTTTTGCTCCCATTTTGCCATGAGAACTCCTCAAAGAACAGCTGGTAGTTAAAACTTGGTTAGAGGCACCAAGGAGGCAGCATTATGTCATGGGTAGAAGCTATAACAGTCAGTCAGTGGTTCCCACACTTCCATCCAGACTGAGCTCTAGGGTCTCTTCCAGCTTTGGATAAACCATTTGACATTCCCTGATCTCAGTCATAAAACATGAGCTAAAGCTGTACTCTTCCTGCAGAATAGCTGAAGGATTTATACTGGGGGTGAGGAATTAATTTCACCAGTATAAATCATGGTGGGATTAATCCCCCAGCTGCCTTTTTGTGGACCCAGAGGACTTTGTTGATGAGGTGGAGAGAAAAGGGGTGAAAGTAATCTTAATGCTACCTCTGTCACTTGGGCTTTGGGCAAAATGCATCAGTTTTTAGTTATACCTGCAGGTGAGTGTGCAAGCAAATAGAATTTAGTAGGAGAGTGTTTGTTTTGGTTTGTTTCTTTCTTTGTTTGTTTTTAGTGGAAGTATTTTCCTCCTGGCACACATACAATATACCAGCCTTGTCAGGTGCTTCCTGCTGCATCTGTGCTTTCTTCCCTCCTGGCACGTAACACCTTTGCACAGCCAGGGACAGACAAATGGATAAAGCCTGTGGGCTTGTTCCTGTGGTAGCTCAACTTCTGATGGATTTTCTGCCAGATTTTTCATCCATGTAGTTCAGAACAGCTGATTTTGATCCTTTGACCTTCATAAGATACCTTTTACACGTGAATTTGATATCTTTACTCAAATCCGTGTCTATAAAAAGTTCAACAGTGAAGTCAAAAAGTTATTTGTCAGGTATATGTACATGTTTAAACAGATCCCATATAAATATGAATTCACTTTCCTTCCCTAAAAATTTCCACTGTAATTGCTTTCAGTTGCTCTGGCTTCTTGTCTTTTAGGTATGATTAGTGGTATCTGGAAGGTGTTTTGCTTTGTAGTCCTGTTGTGAAACGTGTACTTCTGGTAGTTCAGGTTTTCTCTTGTCTGGAATAATTCCAGTATAATTTCATTTGCCCTCTTTTCTCATGGAACAGAAACATGATATAATTGTGCTCTTGGTTTTATATGACTTGCAGAAAGAGGAGGAATCAGCAGTAGAGCCTTGTTATTTCTTGCCATTAACTCTGTATTTCTCAGAGGAAAAATATCTCATGGGGAAGCCTGTGGTCTGTGGCCAGAGACCTTCTGCATTCATCAGACTCCTGCTGTGGCAGCTCAGAGGCTTTAAAAAGCCAGTTGGGCCATTAGAAGTGGGATGCAAGTTAAAGCATTTCCACTGGTTTGACACAAAAAAAAAAAAAATGCTGCAGAAGTTGAGAACAACAAGAAGGAGAGTTTATGACTCCTTAAGTACCTCATGGAGCCTGAAAGAAGGAGAAGCAGCAAAAACTGAGGGCATGTGTGGAAGGAACATTGTCCTCTGTGGTGCACTGTAAGCCATCAGGTTACTGCCTTCTACAGTGAAATTCTCTGTTGTTTTTGCACTTGTAGTGTAGAGCTGTCATTCATGTATTTTGAGGAGAATGCCTGATGTATGTGATGTATTTCGTAAAAAATTATGTGAATATTCCGCACAGTGTTTATGTACCTGCTTCAGTGTTCAGAACCTGCAGATCCTAGAGTTGGGCTTGAGCACATTTTTGGCACAACCTTGTTCGAGGGGCTTGTGGGAGCTTTAAGCCTGCCCTGCATTCCCAGATCCTGCAGTGATTCCAGGCTGCTGCAGTGATGTGTAGTTACTGACCTGAGATCACCTCGGCTGTGTTCAGAAACATGCCCTCCCACGACCCCTTCTCCCAAGGGGATTTTCTCCTCTTCACTTGAACATCATTACTATCATTTCTTGGGCTGCTGGAGTGGTCAAAAAATTGGATTTTTTCAACAGGGATCCGACTAATACGTGGTTTAAACAAAGGTACCATACTTTTCAAAATACCTTGGATCTTAGAGTTGTGAGTAAACTCATCGAAACCATGAAAAATTTTGTAAGCTTCAAACAACCTGGCTTTTTCATTCCTTATCAGGACCCACCTTAGCTTTTCATGCTCAGTAACTTGCTTTCCACACTTCTCACTACTTTCACTCAGTCAGACAATTCATGATCACAGGTAACAAAGGATACAGTCCAGAAAAGGTCATATATTCCAGCTAAACATCTGAGTTAGATGGACTTCAGCCTGTGTTTCCAGAAATGTGATGCTGTGTCTCTTAATTGTCTGATAAGAGAGTTGAAAGGAGTAGCTTGTTTGACCCTCTACCTCCTATTAGTAATTTTTTTGTTCTTCATGTTATCATATCAACAAGATTGCCTTGTTCTGTGTCTCATGCTGCATATTTTTGTGTCAAGGGGTGACAGACCTTCCTTCTCCTTGTAGGTTGTTGTTGTTTGGAGTCTTCTGTGTTCTCTGCATGGGTTTTAGCTTAGGACTTCTGTTCACATTCAAAAAAACGTGTAACACACCAAGGTGTGTGACAGTGCAGAATAAAACCATATATACATTAAACATGAACAAATTATCAGCATGATAAATTGCATTAAGATTGCATTAAATTGCATTAAGAGGGGTTAATAAAATTTAATAAAATTTCTATGATAATTCAGTTGTGTTCTTGCCTGTTAAATGTCCTAGGGAAGGACAGTGTTAATTTTGATTTCTGGGATTTTGGTTTCTGGGTAATCAGTCCACTTCTGGCAGATAGCTGCTCCCAAGCACAGGCTCCATGAATTTAGAGAGGTGATGTGTTAAAAGAGCAGACACTGCTTTCCCCAAAGGCTGACACTGAAGACCAGGCTGAGGACTGGAACTGAGAAAGGAACATAAAGCCTTCCCAATCTAAAATATTGTAGCTGCTGGTACTTGCTGTGATTCAGTGGCTCTGCAGGATCCTGGGATGTCTCTGGCTCGTGTGAGGGTCCCAAGCCAGGCCATGGCACTGGAATCCCTTGCTGTGATAAGCCTGTGACACCTGGGAGCTGAGGTGGTACATCAGGGAGAGGTGCTGAGCTGGCTGACACCAGTTTTAAAGATTTGTGTCAGTGCAGTTCCCAGAAGGGATTCATTCCTGGCCAGACACACAAAAAGCTATCCAGGCTGGCAGTCCAGACTTGCCTGTGATGTTTGCATTTGGGGAAGCCTAATTTAAGGTCAACTGTATCTAGATCCTTGGAGACCTGACTCAAAAATACAGGAAGACAAAGCTGGGATTATCTGCAGGAAAGGTTTTTTGAGAGGCAGACATGTTGCTGTGTTGATCTGTGGACTTGGACCATGATCATTTGTTTGTTTGCTTTCCAGAGGTCTAACATTAGTACTGCCATGAATCTTTGAGTAACAGCAAAAAGTCCTTTCAAGCTTCCTCTTGAACTACAAGGCTGTGGTTCCCTTCTGTTGCCTTGGTTTGCTGGTGTGGAGCCCATTGGTGGTGCTTTCCCTCAGATGGAAGACAGGCCACAGAAATGAATCAAAATTCATGGGGCTTTTTTGCTTGTCTTGAATGTCAGCTCATAGTTGCATCCACTTTATTATCAAAATGTGAAATTTCTTTGTTATTAAAACTTGGAATATGGCACAACTGAAAACCACAGACAAAGCACCTTGAAGCTAAACTGAAACCTTGTTTCATTCCACAGCATTTGGGGGAAATAGTTCAAATAGAGAAAATTAAGGAATTATTCAGTGACCCCATGTCTTGCATGTTCACCTCTCCTCTTCTGCATTAAAATAAAAAATATCCAAAACCTTCAATGTAGTACCACAGCATTTGGAGTTTTTCATAGTGACAAGCAAACATTCTCCTCTGGCTTTTTGTGCATTGAGATCTTCCTGACCAAAACTTGATGTCTTTTGGTTCCTTCTGAACCAAACAGCCCCACTGGAAAACAATGTGCACAGTTACAGCACTGCAGAAGTAAAATGTCCTGAAACATTGTACTCCAGCACAATAGACACCAAAGGAATGTGAGACAAATGGAAGAAAATTCACTGGAAGCTTCTGATGCCTGGGAAGTCCATGGTGGGGAGCAGTTAAGATGCATTTGGGAAAGCAACAATTATTCATTCCAGTAAAGCAAATTAAGGTCAAACAACATCAGAAACCAGTGTGGTTACATGAAAAGCAGAGTCAAACACAGGGCAGTGGGAGAATTATGAAAACAACCAGTACCAAGCAGAAAAGAATAATTAGAAAGAAAAATAATGATTGGTATCTCAATTAAAACAAAGAACAGCAAGCAGAGCTCTTCCCTTAGCAGTTTCACATGTGTCCTAACAAAAGTCTCCCATATGTTACTGAAAAAGGTTTTTCCAAATCAGACAGAGATGATAATTTGCTGGAGGTCATCAGGATGGTATTTATAAACAAACTGGGTGTGAGAAGCCACCCTTGGGGCAGCCTTTTCTTGTGGTTTGCTTACATTTTACCCTTGATTTAACAAGCAAAACTGAGAAAATATGGGTGACTTAATTTAGTCTGTGTGAGCAAGTCTGAGACCTAATGCCTGGACAGTGGAGGAAAGGGAATAGCCATCTGTAATGAGTATTTTCTCAATGGACTTAAGTATGTATTTTGCAAATTATAGCTAGTTTTGTGCACATTCTTACGGAATGTCATAAGAAATTAATCATTTAACTTCTTTTTGCAACTGAGGTTCCCCTTATTTTCCTTAAGTGTTGAGATTCCCTTCTCATTCTTTAGAAATAATTGTGGTAGGAAGAAAACTTTACTTTTGCCTTTTTGGTCAGAAATTGAGGTTTAACAAGTCCAAGTGCCAGGTCCTGCATTGGGCCACAAGAAGCCCCTGCAGCACTCCAGGCTGGGGACAGAGTGGCTGGACAGTGCCCAGGCAGGGAGGGACCTGGGGGTACAGCTGCACATGAGCCAGCAGAGTGCCCTGCTGGCCAAGGAGGCCCATGGACCTGGCCTGGATCAGGAATGGTGTGGCCAGCAGGAGCAGGGAAATCATCCATGGCCTGTTCTCAGCACTGGTGAGGCCACACCTGGAGTGCTGTGCCCAGTTCTGGGCCCTCTGTTTGGGAAGGACATGAGATGCTCAGACACATCCAGAGGAGGGCAGCTAGGTTGGTGAGGGGTTTGGAACACAAACCCTGTGAGGAATGACTGAAGGAGCTGGGGGTGTTCAGCCTGGAGAAAAGGAGACTCAGGGGTGACCTTATCACTCTCTACAGCTCCCTGAAAGGTGCCTGCAGTCAGGTGGGGTTGGTCTCTTCTCCCAGGTAACCACTGGCAGAACGAGAGGACACAGTCTTAAGTTATGCCAGGGGAAGTTCAGGTTTGGCATTAGGGAAAAACTATTTGGGCTCTGGAATTGTCTGCTCAGGGAGGTGATGGAGTCACTGTCCCTGATGGTGTTTTAAAAAAGACTGGACTTGACACTCAGTGCCATGGTTTAGTTGATGAGGAGGTGTCATAGGTTGGACTAGATGATTTCAAAGTTAATTGAAACCTAATTAATTCTGTGATTCTCTGAAATGCTGTCCTTAATTCCTGTCAGATCCTGTCAGGACTGTTAGAGTTGTCTTCCCAGTAGAGACAAGGCCATGGAGAATTCCCGTGTGGTGGGAGAATTCTCACCTCCACTGTGCCCTGCTGAGCTGACAGAGCTGTTGGACACGGAGATGCCACAGCCCTGTGACCTGTGCAGCTCATGGGCAGAGGGAGGTGGGTGAGTTCTTGGTCCCAGTCTGTGAACAACAGGCTCAGATACACTGCTCCACCTACCTGGATAGGTTTTGATACTGAAACCTTCAGAGATGGGCTCCAATCAAAGCTGGTGTGGAAATTAGATGACTTTCTGATAGGTGTGAAACTTGAAAGCATTGCTCAGCAGAGCCTGGAGTCTGTGGCCAGCAGCACAGGAGTTAAGCATTGAAAGGTTTTTTTTGTATGGGCAGGAAAGGAAAAATTTATAGCTCATAATCAACCCATGAAAAATGTAGTCTGTAGTGTTTCTTTCCTGTCTGAGCTCTTGGAAGGCCCCTGTTCCTATCTGAGTCTGTTGAGTATGGAGAGTTTCTTTGCAAGGGCAGCAAATATAAAGCTACTGCAAGATATGGGCAAGTGTCCAGCCCATTTGTGGAGAGCTGTATTATTCCCTGGCACTCCAGTAGAACAGCTGGGCAGCAGGAGATCACTAGGCACAGTGTACCTCTTCTCTCTTTCCCATTTCCCCTCTTGACTGAAATGATTTTGCTGGCAAATTCAGTGTCTGTAACAGCTGTGAACTCTTCACCCTGCTCTAGGAGACTGTATCTGTCTTAAACTCTGTTTATTGTTCAGTTTAAGAAAGTGGCCACCAACCAAGCCTCTGGAAACTGAGCTTAGTGTAGAGAGTGTGAACAATATTAGTACAAAAACTTTCCCTGGGGAGAGGCTCCTCCTTCCAAATCATAGCTGAATTGGCCAGTGGTTGTAGGAATAGAACACCTAGCCTGGCTTTTGGTTTTGGGACCACTGGGGTGATGGTTTGTGATGTGGGTGGGGAAAAGGAGCACAGAGCAGGAGGAAATGCACTATCTGGGCATGGAGTGAGGCACAGTGTTCCCTGCCTGTGGGGGCAATGAGAGGAAAATGCTGTGGGCATAGGAGAGGGGTGTTTGTGACTGTTGGTGCTCTGTGACAGCATTCTGGGTGTGTGTGGGGCTAGAGGGGACAACTGAAACTGGGAGGGTGGTGGCAGAGCCTGGGAGCATCTGCCTGGTGTGGTCTTTCCTGGCCTTGGGATGTGGAGCTGGTCTGGCACTGCTGGCTGTGCCACAGCTTGCAATGAAACCTGAAATCCAGAACGTGTTTGCATGTTAATTTTAGATTGTAGATACTTTTCATAGCTGTGAAATCGTAATTCCAGCATTTCTCCTGTCAGCAAGCCTAACCAAAGGATGTTACCAACAGATTTTCAAATACTTTGACTGAAAATTCCAAGTTGCCACATTATCAGAACAAGAAGGGAAATAAAAACAGACTTAAATGGATGCAAGTTGTATGAAATCTGTCTGGTATTAAAAGTTAATTGAGTTTTGAGGAAAACTTACACAATTCAGATGAGACACAAAGAGTAAGAGAAACTCTCTTTTCTCTTTCTTAACTATTGGTTTATTTTGGATGCTGCTGAGCAGCTGAGTTAACCAGAGACTGCTCTGGTTTCCCAGCTTGCAGCAGGAATGTGCCAGTATTTGTACACAGCGCCAGTGGAGAGTTTCCTGTGCTGGAAGAGACTTGAGATACAGAAATGGCTTGGAGACATGGAAAGTTCAGGGCCTTTTTCTCAGGATGTTTAGGTGTTTACTGTGCCTTTTATTCTGAAATAAGTTTTAAGAAAAGTTGGTGGTGGTTTTTTTTTTTTTTTTTTTTGGTAGTAATTTTCTATTTTTGCCACACTGAGTTGAAAATTGTCAACAACATTGCAAATTATGTCTGGAAAAGCATAGCTTAAAATGTCTTATTTTCTTACAAAATCCTGTTGAAATGATGATAAATCCCTGCAAATGTAGGATCTAAGGGCATTCCCACAAACATATATTGTGCAGTATCTAAGTACCAATCTAATAGCCGGGTGTGGATGAACACCTGCCTAAATCAGGAAAAGCAAACAAACAGATCACTTCCCCCTCCTCCCCGCTTCAGGCAGCATGGAAACCCCACTGAGTCATCAGCTCTGCTTTCCCTCATCCCCCCAGTCTGTGGAAGGATTGTCCAGGGGCTGGTGTTCTTTTAGCTGCATGTACTAACAAAGTCTGGGATAACTTCCCTGAGCAAGATCCAGTGGTCCTTAAGCATCCTTTCCCTGCTCTGCCAGCATGAGCAGGACACCCTTTTTGCCTGCTGTAATTTGACAGCCCCTGCTTGGTTTGTGCTGAAGATGAAGTGAAGACCCTGCTGGTAGATCTTCAGTCACCAAGATTAGCAGGACCACTGTGTCTCCTGTGGCTCAGCTCTCTGGGCACTCCCAGCTGGCTCTGGCACAGGCAGGCTCGTGCTGCAGAGAGGGTTTTATCCTCCCAGATGAGGCAATCCCACTCACTGTGTGTGCCTGGGGGGGTTAGGTTTGGGATTTTCTCCTTTTCCTCCACGAGAGCCTCAGTTTCATGAGCAGGCAGGCTTTGTACCAAGGCTGTAGATAAGGAGGAACACAGTGTGTTGGGATTTGCAGCTCCAGTATGATTCCCCAGACTCTGCAGCTGGTGAAAGGCCCCAGAGGAAGCATTTGATTTAGCATTTCCACTGGGAAGGAGCCATGAATACCTTGTTTCCTCCCTGCTATTTTCCCACAAGGTCCCAGGGAGTGGTTATGGAGCAAACATTGACCTTATCCCAGTGGCCCAAGACGGAATGAAGAAATTCTGGTGCTGTTGATGGTGTGTGTAATGTCTGGTGCTTGTTAAACATGGCTGTGGTACAGCTCAGCACAGATACTTCAGGTGGGCTGTGAATGGCTCATGTGCTTGTGGTTCTGGTGGGTGCAGGTACACTCAGTTCCAGCTGGATGCAAGCAGTGTGTTCTCTGTTTCCTTGCAGTGAAATAGCATCAGTCCTACGGGCCTGGCTCGATCAGTGCTCGGAGGATTTCAGGGAGCCCCCTGACTACATGTGTTTGCTGAAGTTGCTGCATTACCTGAAGAACAATATGCCCAATTCTGACATGGAGAGTAGGGTGCAGAACCTCTTGAAGCAGTTTCAGAACCAAGAAGTAGAAGCTGTTGGTGAGTTACCATTCCCTTCTCTCTTTCTGTCCTCCCTGCCTGTAAGATGCCCCAGGGATTTATGTGCAGTACATTTCACCACCTCTCATGCTTATCAATAATATTGTGAGGCTCACCAGTGACCTTTGTCTTGTTTTTTAAAAGGAAACCCAGCCTGTGTGTGAGGCTGCAGGCTGTGTGAGGGATGAAATAGTGTGAGGTGCCTATGTCTGTTCATCCTGGGCTGGCTTGGGAAATCCAACACTTCTCAAATATTTAGCCAAAGCTTTGAGATTGCTGCAGCAGCCAACTGGTTAATTGTCAGCACTTCCCATGTCACTGAGTTAAAACACACAGCTACTCTCTAGCTGGGCTTCTCACTTAACCTACCCCCCCAAAAAAAAACCCCAAACAAACAAAAAACAGAGTACAGAGCTGTGACAAAATACAGCTTGAGTCACAAGCTTTGTCCTGCAGCTTTTCTTCCTAGTTACCATCTTGTCTAAGGAAGTGCCTGTGGGTGTTTTTTCCTATTGGAGTGGCTGGCTGCTGGTATCCAAGGACAGAGGAAAATCTTACGTTATTGGGGGTCACAGTGTGCTGGAACAATGGTGAACTGTAGTCACACAAACCTGACACATCCCCATATCCTGGTCAGAAAACTTCCTGTGCCAGAGCTGGGGAGGGGGGAGAGCTCACACAGGGTGTGAATGAGAACTGGAATCAACTTCCACCTTTGGTAGAGGGGTCAGAGAGAATAATTCATGCCCTAAATGATAAAGGAAATGCCAGAAAAAAACCCCACTTTCATTACATGAAAGTCACGTCTGCCGGATGCTCCAGAAATACCATGTCAATGCATAATACTGTGAAATGCCAAAATAACTCAGTCATGAACAGGAAAAGGAGGAATGCCCAGAGCCCAGGCCTTTACTGAGCACAGGTAAGGAACAGGATGGCTCAGATGTTGCTTGTGCTGATGTTTCCTGGGTTGGGTTCCCCCAGCTCAAACAAAGAAAGAGACATGGAGGCATGCAAAGTTCAGTGCCTTTTTTCAGGAAGTTTAGGTGTTTACTGTGCCTTTTATACTGAAATAAGGAGCTTAGAGTTTTAAGAAAAGTGTTGGTTTTTTTAGTAAATTTCTATTGTTGCTACACTGAGTTGAAAATTGTCAACAACATTGCAAATTATGTCTGGAAAACCATAGCTTAAAATGTCTTATTTTCTTACAAAATCCTGTTGAAATGATGATAAATCCCTGCAAATGTAGGATCTAAGGGCATTCCCATAAGCATATATTGTGCAGTATCTAAGTACCAATCTAATAGCTGGGTGTGGATGAACGCCTGCATGGATCAGGAAAAGCAAACAAACAGATCACTTCCCTCAGAAAGAGGGAAAGAAAACTCATGAGAACTGTATTTGAGTTCATGTGTTCTTCAGAGTCAACAGAAGTTCCCAGCAGCCCTGCTTCTGTATTTGTTTCCTCAAGTGACAGCTGAAAACATTCTTTTTTGAGTCATAGGTAGGCCAGTAGGAATGATAACATTTTCCCAATTGTGGCAGAATAGAGATTACTTATTAGAGTAAAATAAGAGGAGGACAATGAAATTAAGCTGTGGGATTTGCAAAAAAGAGTTAAAGAGTTTTAGGATTGCCTTACTTTCATCAGAGCTCCATCTTTGTACATTTTCTTTCAAAATCCCTGATACATTTTCTGCAATCTTTGTTGATAAGTACTGTCCCAAAGCATTCCTGCTGGGTTCTGAATTTTGAAATTTGGGCTCTAATCCTACAGCTTGATTTGGGTAATCAAACCTCTGTTCTTTGCTGCCATCAGCCATGCCAGTAGATTAGATTGCAGTACCAGACAGGAAGATAAAAGCTGCTTCTGGCCTCAATTCTTGCAGGTTGAGCAAGCAAAAACAAGGAGAGGCCGAGGTTGCAGGGTCAGGAGGGGCACGTGCTTGCTCTCAGTGCAGTCAAGAGCCAGTCAGACTTTGAGAGGGCTGAGTGGATCAGAGGGGTCCTAAGATGATGATGAGATACTCGAGTTCAAGGGGATTCCAGCTTGTTGGAGAGCAGCGAAAAGACTGCTTATATGTCTATGAAGGAGAAAAAGAGGGGTGAAAAAAGAAAAGGAAAATTTACACTGTGCTTCAGGACCTCGTTTTAAGCATGTTGTGAAGTTTTGGGTAGGGCTGCAGCTCAGTGGTGAGGATTTCCAATTGAATTTCAAGAGCCAAAAGGAAAAGGAGGTTTTACAAAGCCAAAAGGAGTGAGATTCTTGTAGCAGTCCAGTCCATTTAATTATGCAAATTGTTACAAAACATCCATGGAAAAGTAGCCTAGAACAGAGGTCTCCATTTACCCCACTGAGCTCTGCCAGTAAACTGTGCAATTCAAATGTACAGATGGAAATCAGCTTGTAGACATAACTTGTTACATCAGAACTGTAGCAATTTACATTGGTGATTATGTTCTGTTAATTACTGGAGGAAGGAACAATGAAGTATTTTGAAAAACAGTGATTCTCTTATCACATTAGCTGCTGTTGTTGCTTTAATGCTCTGCTTTAACTGGATATGAAGTCTTGCATAACACTCTTTGTTTTTGGAAATGAAATCTCACCAGTAGTAAACTCAGTACTTTGGTTGTTAGTCTTCAACAAGTCTCTATTTTCTTCTCCCTAACTATGGAGTTACTGTTGCCTTACACTAAAAAGAATTAGGATTTATTTTCAGGGAGTTTCTGTTTCTTCCTCCTCTACCATAGGAAACAAGGGATATTTCTTGGTGTTTGAATTTTTGGTTCCCAACTTCTGGGAGCCAGAAGGTGACAAGGCAGCAGCTGTGGAACTCTCTCCTTTCTGCACTGCCTCAGGTGCCTCAGTGAGGACAGTTCTGCTCTCACCTCCTCTTTGCTGCCCAGATTTAGAAGATTTAGAAGAACCATTCAGCAGAATATTGTAGGTGCTCACTGTATTCCATTTCCTGGGAAAAATTCCCTGAGAGAAAAGGTGAAGGTTGCTGGAATAAACTCTCTTCAGTACAGCCCATGTAGCCACAAAGGGTACCAGGAAATCTGGTGTCTTCTTTTATTTCTGGATAGAAGAGCATTCCTAATGCAGTATTTTGGGGATATAACTGCAGCCTCATGTCTTTGTAGTCTGATTTTTTTTTCAGATTATAAATACTGAAAAATAGACTAACAAAACTGTGGAATATCAGTAAGGAATTTTTGTTGGGGTGGTGGTGATGCTTTTTCTTTCAGAAGAATAGTTAGCAAATGGGTCAAGCCACTTTTCTAAGATTTGTTCTGTTTCTTTTTACTCCACCTTTTCTTTGCCAGTTTAATCTTCTGGTCATTTTTCTCACTCCAGTGGCACAGTGGGGCCATTACATCAGGCAGGCCCCTTAGGCATTCTGCTGTAATACAGTGATGTTGCAAAATAAACACCTGCTTTGATTCATTGTTTGCTGTATAAATTCACTGAGTGGTGTTTTCCATCCTGGCCAGATGGGTTCTGTAGCACTTCCTCCAGTGACCTGGTTGATGGAGAGGAACTGGAGAGCAGCAATCCAGAAGAATTCTCCTCTTTTCAAGACCACGTTGTGGCAGAACAGTTGACATACATGGATGTGGTATGTAGAGTATTGCATATAGTACAACTTTATAAAATAAAACATATTTTTTTGTAAGTTACATTGCTTTAAGTGTTGGGTTCCAGAACAGGACTGCTGCTGGCACACAGAACACAGCTCTGTGGTTATCCAAGAGGTTTCAGTCTTTGAGTTTTTCCCTTCTGTCATTTTGAAGGGTTTTTTGGTTTTGTTTTTTTGTTTGGTTTTGGTTTTTTATATGTAGTCTCTTTTGCAAAAGTTATTGGCACTGAGAAATAGCACATTTTAACTATAACACTACCTGGCTTAAAGATGTCTAGGAACTCTGGACTGTAATGCTCAGATTTTGCTTTGTGTCCATCAGTTCCCTTCTAAATATCATTATATAAATAAATTTTATCTTGGTTATGGAACTGATATAAAGATGTCCCTAATTTCCCCATTATTGTTTAGCTGGCAGTTCTTTTGGGGCATCAAGCCTATAAAGAGTATGCCAAAGGATATTTTAAACTAAGAGAGAACCAATACTTATCTTTAAGTACCATATTAGATTTAAGTCAAATTTGTCCTCTAAACCTGTATTTCTTCTCGTGAATAAAAGATTTAGGAGAAAGCTCTGGCTTACCACACCTCTGTTTCACTCTAGATGCTCTTCAGAAGAGTTGTGCCCTACCACTGTTTGGGATCCATCTGGTCTCAAAGGGATAAGAAGGAAAACAAGAACCTGGCTCCAACTGTCAGAGCCACCATCACCCAGTTCAATGCAGTCACCAAATGTGTCATCAGCACTATCCTGGGGACCAGGGAGCTCAAAATCCAGCAGAGAGCCAAGATCATTGAGAAGTGGATTCATATTGCACATGTAAAGCATTTATTCTGGTGAATGTTTTTTGGGTGGGTGCCTTGGAGTGAAGGAGTTGGGAGAGTAAGAAAGGGGTTGTGCACATTGGTGCCAGGCTATCTTAGCTCTCATTCTTTCAATTTTAACTGTTTTTTTTTTTGTGATACCAAATAAATATTGCCCTTCCTCTCCTCAGTTCTTCCCCACCATGGAAATGGGGTTGATACTTGGCCATGCCAAAGCTTTAGAGAACTCCAGATAGCTGAAATCAGCAGCTCTGTGGAATCACCTCCATGTCCCTCAGCAGAGCTTCCAAGAGGATCTTGTAGCAGATTCCATGTTTTTATCCTGTTTTTCCTAATCTATGCAAGAAGGGTTTTTTTTTTTTCCCCATGGCTGCTTTACATACCTAATTTGCTAATTTCCTAGGTTCTGTTATTTTACTGTAATGTTCCTCATTCCCCCTGGAGCACTGGGCAGCAGGCAATAAACAAGACCTCTCTGGAAGAGAGCACTTCAAGCACTTCCATGTGGATGTGTGTTGACTCCTAAGAATCCCATGGATTCTTTTTGAGCTCTACAGAACAGTCAGGAAAAGCTGAAGCTAGAGGCTTTCCAACCTTGGCAACTTCTGTGCTTCCAGAGGCAGCATTCAGTCCTGGCACCTGAGCTCTGGCAGCTGCATGGTTCAGGAAGCTGGGATGGGGAAGGGCTTGGACCTCTCCTGTGGCACTTACATCTGCTTGTTTTTATCATCATCTGGTGGATGCTTTATTGCCTGTGTGAAGGGAAGTTTGATTTCCAGTTTCTACTTGCAGATCTAAGTGGCAGAGGGCACCAGCTAAAAGAGCCTTCTTCCTGGGGCAGGCTGGACAGAGCTTCATCATCATCCCACGGCAGAAGGGAGGCCTGGGGAAATCAGGAAAGGCACTGCCCTCATCCCACTCACTCTGTGGGTGGAGAACTTTGTTCTACACCCCTGCTGATTCTGTGCCTCTCCCTTTACTTAATTCATTAGGTGCTCCAGTCGTAGCATGAAACACATGAAAAATGTATGTGCACACTCTGCAGAATAATGGCACATGTACAGCAGCTGGGTGCATGTTTACTTAGCTGCCCACTTCTGAAGAAAGCTGCTTCCTTTGTGCATGCAAATGAGGGTTTTGAATAGCTAGGTGCCTGAACTAGAAAATAATCCACTCATTAAAGTACAGTTATTCACTGATAACTAAACTTAGCAGCACGGAGTTCCACATTTGTCATCTCTTCATGACTTCTGGTTCCATTTTCTTGGCTCAAAAGATAAACTGGATACTTTCTCTACTGCCAGCCCTCTGCTCCACCTAGATCTAAGGTTCCTGAGCAGGAGCAGCCAATTTCACTCAAACAATATTTTCTTTAAAAATAAAAATAAAAATGAAATAATTAATGTCCTGTTATGCTTAAAATTTTTAAAATCAAAGCTGTTTCTCCACAGGATTCTTTCTGGTTTTCCCTCTGTGAAGGACACAGCATGAAACAAAGTTATTAAAACCAGTCTTAAAAATTCTTACATGCAAATGAAAGCTTGCTCAATTTTAGTCTGTAGTTGGTTGAACCACTGAGAACACTAAATCCAATATTAAATGAAATTCCAACTGTGCTCTAAATTGCACAGCATGCAGTTAAGTCAAGATGGTTCCAAATTGGTTCTTCCAGTTCAAACTCCTGTTGTACTGGAAAGAAAGAAGAAAAGCTGATAATTTGTGCCTCTAAATTTGTGTTCTCCACAACCTAAATTTCAGGTTGAACAAAAAGAAAGGTCTCATTCTTTAACATGTCAGTCTCTGGAGAAGAGCTGTTATGTGGCTTTTTTTTGGCCCCAAACCATGCAAAACCAGCTTTCAGTTCCAGTGAGTCCTGCCTCATGATCTTGAACTTGGTGTTTATCTGACCCAAGTGTCCACCTGCTTCAGATGCTGTTGGCCCAGGCTCTCTGCTTGAGCCACCCTTGGATAAATGGAGTGTCCTAATTAGAAGTTTTTTGTGGGTCAGTAACTGGGAGAGTTTGTACTCTCCTTAGCTGTTCAGTCACTTCTAATGCAGCTCATGAACAGGGATGCTGATGGATTAAGGTCTGACTTGCTTATGCTGAGGTTGCTTTACATTTGTTCAGTCCTACAAAGGAAATAAATCATGTCTGTTTTCACTGTAAGGATCCTTTACATAATAAGCATTATTAGGGTGAGAATCAGATTCATAAAAATGTTGATAAGCAGAACTGGAGTTTGAATACATTCTTCTCTCCATGCAGCAGTCAGATTGGCAGGTGTTCTGTCTGCTGGATTTGCATGTACAGACACCTGTGCTGAAGGTTGTGGTATCCAAGCTATCCTTCTTGAGCCACCAACAGATTTCCAGGAGTCACAGACCAGACTTTCCTCTTGCTTCCCTCCACTTTATGAGGAATCTGTGCTACTTTTTTGAGTTTTTCATTATCCTTTTCCACCCAAGCTTTTGCCACAGAGTAGCTGCACAAGAAACATCCATGAGCCAGTCTCTCTGTTCAGATTTGATCCAAACTCTGGAAAAGCTGGGAAGGTTTTTCTCTTTAACAGTGTGCACATACTTGAATAACAGGTTATTCCTTTGCATGTCTTTATTTTTAATTGACACTGAGATGATTGAGGGTTTACATTTTAAATACCACATATAAAGAGTCAAAGCCTGGTTTTCTCCCTAAGGGGTAAAAGGGATTGGCAACTATAAAGAGCTTTTTAAGAAGTATAACCTTTGTGCCTTTCCCCATGGCTTCATGGACTCAGTTCCACTTTTATTTTTACTTGGAGAACTGGAAGCTGTGAGACCACAAATACATGAAAGTGAGGAAAACAAGCTCTAAATGCCAAAGCTTGTGAAGTGTGTGGTGGCTGGAGGGGGGAGTGATATTTTTGATGCTCAGTATTTGCACAGCTGCTGCTCAGCAGTGAGAATGTGTAGCAGGCCTGACAGGGCTCAGAGAGAGGAGCACCAAGGTCTGTGCAGTGCTGACATTTAATGCTCCTGTGTTTCCAACCACTCCTTTCACAGGAATGCAGGATCCTGAAGAACTTCTCCTCCTTGAGGGCCATCATTTCAGCTCTGCAGTCCAACTCCATCTATCGGCTGAAGACCACCTGGATGTGTGTTTCCAAGTAAGCCTCTCCCTCAGTTCCCAAGGGCTCAGTGCTCCTTCCTTTCATCCTCTCCTCATTCTTCTTGTTCTGTTCCTTCACTAACATGGGTCCTGTCAGAAGAACCTTCCATTCCTGGGAGGCTCAGACCCCTCCTGTGAGCTCCTCTTTCCTATTGAGGGGACAACCTGCCTTTGGGGATACTGAATTCTGTCCTTTCAAGCATATTGGGTCTTCTACAAGCTCTCTAGAAAAACTATGGCACTGGCTTCTCACCCAGCTCATGCTCACCACTCCCAGGTCACCATCTCTGCTTGTTGTCTTCTCTCCCATGAAGTTTGAGGAGATCCAGCTTGCTACAAATCCTCCCAATTCTTCTCCTGGTGCTGATATTTACATAAGATATATTCCCAAATAACAAAATCCAGTATTGAAGATAATATTTCTTCCAGTGAAGATAGTATTTCTTCACTTTATTGTGATAATAATATTTACTGCCTGCCCCACAGATGCCAGAAGTTGTTGTCTAGAAAAAATGGTGTTCTGCTCATTCAGTTTGGAGAAACCAGATTTCTTTGCCTTTGATAAATAAAGTATCAGTCTGCTAGGCAGTATCCTTCTGTATTTCCTCTCCACAGAAGTTGGGTTTTCCTTCTACTGCCCCGTGTTTCTGATTAAAATATTGCCTATCTTGTCTTGGCCAAAAAACTACTCCTCCATTTAAATGCTTCCAGCTTTCCAGAATGCATGGAATAGGGCAAAAATCAAGAACTTGGGTTTTTCTGTTGCTTTGTATCCCCTGACCCATTCTCACACAGACTGACAGTTCAAAGCCCTGCCCAGGGGCTGCTGATGGTGTTTCTTTGCTGTCAGATGAGGCCAAACTTTGCTGGAAGCACCAGAATGTCCCACCAAGGCTCCCAGGAGATGTGCAGCATCTCACTGGGTGCATTTTGGTGCTGTTATCTTTTATAAGTGGAACTGTTAATGGTTGAGAAAGAAACAGAAACTCGATTGGATTTTAGAGTGCTCGCTAATGACATAAATGATGTTATCTTCTCCTGTGCAGGGACATCCTGCTGATGTATGAAGAGCTGTCTGAAATCTTCTCAGACCATGACAATTACCTGACAAGTAGGGAGCTGCTGATGAAGGTGAGAACTGGTATGAGTTCAAAATTTGTGATCTCAATGAAATCTGAGGTTTAACCCTTTTTGAAACCAGCTGCCAAAGCTCATCTCTTCCTCAAGGACCTTCCCTGGTGTTTAGGGAAGAGCAGGCTGTAAAACCTGAACTTCTTGCTGGGCTGAGAGTTGATTTCCTTGTTCCTGGAAGAAACAGTAGCTTTAGCCTGGATAGGCACAGCCATCAGGCTTTGGCAGCATGATCTGGGTGGACAGCAGGTCTTGCAGCCCCATAGCCCATGAGGTCACTGGAACAATGCCACACCTTCAGCTGAGGAGTCAGTCCAAGATGTTTATCCCATTAGCCTGTACCTTTCTCAGAACTAGGAAGCAGGGCTGGGAATTCAGAAGGAACAGGCTTCCTCCTCTGTGGGTGGCCAGATGGACAACAAAGCAGGCTCTGTGTGGAGCAGTTTGACTCTTGCACTCTCCTGGGTGAACCCCAGTAAGCTCAGGAGCCTGAAAGGGGTGAGGAAGAATGGCAGGGAAGGGCTGTGTTCTGCAAAAGCTAAGGAATGTTTGTGGCAGGTTTTTTCTATCTACATGAAAAAGTTCCTCATAAACTCAGTAAGCAGTTCATTCTTTGGCAGTTCTGTCCAGCCAGTCTGGCATTTGTCCCTCAGCCCCTTGCCTTGGGATCTGAAACACTGTGTTTTGCTCAGGAATGGTGGGTGAACGCATTCACATCTGTCAGTCTGTTTTGTTTATCATCCATTTATCAACATCTGTAGGTAATTTTTAAAGCAGGTGAGACCATAATAAGCATAGAGGGAAAATGTGTGTTTAGAACAGCTTATTTAACTAAATATTAAAAGACAAAACAACTCAGACTGAGCCCAGACCTCTGGCTCCCAGTAAATCACCCTCCAGCTGCCCTAAGCAGATTTTAAAAACATTTTGGAAGCAGTGAGAGGAAAAAAATCCCTCAGACTAGCTAGAACCTCTCCCCTACTTTTCATCTTGGACCATTTGGAGGATTAATATCCACTGAATCCTCAAAGGCTTAGTTTTCCTTCACTGTAAATAGCCCCTGTAAGGGAAGCCATGTTGGACCTTGCCCCTTCATCCTGCAAATCCAAGTGTGGAGGAAACAAAATGCCATTGGAAACTGATGGGGTGGCATGGAAAGGGAGCAGTGTTCTCTCCTCCTGAACAGATACTGATAATGATTTGTGACACATCTGTGCAACCACTGGAAGAAACACACAACTCCAACATCCCCTGTGCATCCAGGGAAATGCAGGTTTAAAGAACTGTGGTGAAGTGCCTCATCCATTCATAGGAAAGCTGGAGCTGTGGGGATGGAAACCTGTTCCTTTAATTTCCTGCATGGTTTTGGGTTAGTCAGTAAGCCACAGTGGCTGAATCTTGGTGTTGCAGCATAAGAAAAACAACAAAGCATTACATAAGATGGAGATGTTTACTTGTAGCAGGCCTGATGAGGGAATTAACCAGAATTCCTCATGTCAGGAGTGTTGGGATAGAGCATCTGGACACCTGAAGTGTGTCTGAGCTTCTCTGATTTAAACTCCCAAGTGATTTTCAGCAGCACTTGGCTTGGCCAAAGCCATTCTGCAGAAGATTTCCCTCACAGTCATCTTGGGTGATTTTTGTCCAAAATTCCCAATCAGCATCCGAGTCCCAGGAAATCAACATGTGTGTAGACACAGGTGTGTCTACAAATATTTCTTGCTGGCTTAACTTGTCTGGTTAAATGACTATTTTACATGCATGTAGTTGCCAGTTTACCACTTGGATCCTTCATTAATTGCCTTTAATTCTTTATCACCTCACAGGAAGCAACATCCAAATTTGCAAATCTGGACAGCAGTGAGAAAGAAAATCAGAAAAAGTCACAGAAGCGACTGCAACTTCAAAAAACCAAGGTGTGTTAGGGGGTTTTCCTCTCCTTTTTGAACTGGTAACATCATTAACCCTAATTGGTCAGTTCTTTAAGAAGCAAAATCCAGAAAGGTCTTCCCCAGAGTGAGTGGGCAGGAGGGGATTGATGGTCATCACTCCAGCTCTCTTTTTCAGTCCTACAAGTAGGAGTTCCATTATCTACTCTTGTTACATTTTAGAGAGAAATGCAATTTCCATGTGGTAAAATGTGTGCTGCTGTAAATACTGGAGCTCTTGTGATAAAGAGAGTTAGCTCTGGCTGAGCAGAAGTCTCATTTACTTTCAAACATGTTGATGAAGCTTCTGGCACACCAGCTTGAAAATTGCACAGGCTTCTACAGAGATTGCTTTGTAAAATGTGTCTGGGGTCCAGTCTGCTGGTGAAAATGGTTTTTGTCTCAAAGCTGGCAAAGATTTAAAAGGACAGGGGGAGAGAAATCTGGAATAGGGAGGCAAAAGTGCTGAATATGATTTTTGTCTGTCTGGTTGTTTGACTGGAAAAAATACAGATACTTCTGGATGGTAGAAACAAGTGTTTCCTTTGCAAGTGTAGAGCCAGCCTGAACTCTGCAAGTGCTGGCAGTCTAGAAGTTTAAAGTGTGACTAATTAGCATTAAAATGCAGTGGATGGCTGGGGAAGATGGTCACTTCTTGGAGAGAAAAAAATGGTGGCTTGATTTGACTTCACTATCACAAGGTATAATCAATCACACATGTCTAAGTAAAAATCCACAGGGATGAAGCAGAAGCTGCTCACAAAGGCTGGCCAGGACCATTCCCCTGCTCCTCCTCTTGCACCAAGTGACAGAGGGACCCTGTCCCTGGTCCTCAGTGCTTCTCCCAAAGGCAGGGTTTCCTGGAGACCCACTGCTGGGAACCAGTGATGGCAATACTGTAATGCAAAACCACTGGGTAGTACCTGTGAGAGCATCCTGGTCTCACTGGAATTGGATTTAAGTTCTATATTATCTAATGAAATTGATGTCATGAAATAAAACATAATTGTAGGACTGATGCTTGGTTAAGCAGATTACTTTAATTTCATTTTCTTACACAGGAGTGTTCTGGAATTGTAATTATTCTCATTTTCCAGTCAGTTAATCCAGCATTGCTCTGCTCACTTGCAGGGAGTGATGCAAGGCACGGTCCCTTACCTTGGCACCTTCCTGACTGATCTCATCATGCTTGACACAGCCCTTCAGGACTATGTTGAGGTAATTTGGGGCAGTTTTTTGGAACCCTAAATACCCTCCCTGCCTTCCCAACTGAGTTTACATGTTTCTGCATCCTCTCCTTCTGCAGCTCTTAAAATCTGTTTACAAAAAGAAAAGGGAAGCAACATGCAGTGTTATTAACTGGAACTTGTGTGAATTTTTGTGCATTTATCTCAAGGTACAAGTCACAAGTCTGGCTTTTCTCTGATCCCTTCTCTTTCCTTCCAACAGGGTGGCCTGATCAATTTTGAGAAGAGACGAAGGGTAAGTTGAATGTTCTGTGATTTTTGGTTTATTGATACCCTCTGGGCAAGGGCATTTGTCCTTAGCAACTGAACCAGACCTAGTGGCAGGAGACCTTTGCTTTCCAGAACACACAGTTAGTAAATATCCTCCTTCTCCTGCAGGAAACCCTTTGTAGGTGAAAGTCTGCAGAGAGCAAACCAGGTACAGAGGAGGCTGTCAGTCTCTGCTTTTGGCCTGATCCTTGTTGGTCAGAGATAAGTAATGTCCTGTAGGAGTAAAGCTGCTGGGGTTACCTTGGGCTGAATGAAGTCAGGCCAAATCTCCATCCTTGGATTGAAAGCAGACCTGGACTTGGCTGAGATGGAGCCATTTCCTCCCCTGAACTGCTCAGTAACCTGCCCTAAACAATCCAGGGTTATTCTGGCAGGGTGTGTACAAGTGCAGTTACAGAAGAGCAGCACACTCTGGTCACATGCCTTAAGGGCAGCATTTTACATTCCTCTGGAGCAAGTGTGAGTGCACATTATGGGTCCCAGGGAAAAAAATCCCACCTTTATTGTTATAGGAAACTGGTTCTTAAAATAGTTACTCAACTGAAAATGAACTTCACATCAAGCTAAGTTTGTCCTGGATCCCTCATTGTATGAATGAATATAATCTTGTTTTCTAATTAGACTTTGTATGTGATTATTTATTTTCTTAGGAATTTGAAGTCATTGCCCAGATCAAGCTCCTGCAATCCTCATGCAACAGCTATTGCCTGATACCAGACCAAAAATTCATCCAGTGGTTCAGGAGGCAGCGACACTTAACAGAGGAGGAGAGGTGGGTGCTCAGTGCAGCTGGAAAACCTCTGTTCTCAGCCCACACACCTGGGCAGGGCAGGGCAGGGACATGCAAACACTGGAAAGATTTTAAACCTGTTATAAGGGGGTGAAATATCCCCTTGGCCCTGGTAAAATGCAGGCAGAGCAGTGTTCCTCTTTGGGGCACTGCAGCTTCTGTGAGAAAAAAAAGATTCTCAAATTTCTTGAATATTGCTGCTGTGAGATGTACAGCTAAATAACACTGTACAACTGAATAACATTGTACAACTAAATAACACTGTACAACTAAATGACATTGTCTGCAAATATTCACCTGCAGTTACAAACTCTCCCGTGAGGCTGAAGCAGCTGCTGATACCAGCATCCTGTCTCCAAAATCCCAGAAAAGCATGGTGAAGAGGATCAGCACGTGAGTATGATGGGGCAGAGGGGTTTTGGGGTGGGAATAGGGACCTGGAAAACTCAAACAAGCAGTGCTCATTTAATCAGCTGCAGAACCTGGCTGGGGATCCACAACCCTGCATTGCTTTAAGGAGAAGTGCAGCCTTGTGGATGAAGCTGTCCCTTTGTTTGCTAGAAGCAGTCATGATGATTATTAAAGGTAGAAGAGACTAGAATAAAGAATCTTTCCTATGGTGTCAAAAAAAGAAACCATTTTAGTGATGGATTATAATTCATTACCTCTTGTGTAATAACTTCACTGAATGCAGCAGGAAAACAGAGTAAATGAGGATAAAGTCTGGTCTATTATTAGTCTAAATTGCTATAAACATGCAAAATTTCCTTGCAGGATTATAATATGAAAATTAAGGTTAGCAAAAAGGCATTTGATAGTGGAAACAACCAGTTGGAGAAGGAAAAAAAATCATGGAGACAATTGTCCAATTTGGTGTAATACCACAAAGATTCAAACAGGACAGGGCCATGCAGTTGGACATGGGAAACAAGAGGCAGCAGGAATGCAGGGAAAGCTGCATGGAATAAAGCAGAGCTCAAAGACTGAAGTTAAAGTACCTGCACTCTGAATGTGTTTTGCAAATGAATACTGTAGAAAAGCAGTCAGTGGCACCTCTCTAAGGTGTATTAAATCAATAACTGCATGCTGATGCTCCCTGCTCCTCCTCTTGGTGGGTCAGACCAGCTTGTTTCCTTTGACACTCCTTTCAAGTCACTTGACCTGCATTTAGAAATGAGTCTTGGAGAGGGAGTGCCTTTAATTTACATTTTATGATCTCCTTATTGTGTGTATCTCCAGCCTTCTAGAGAGAACCTGGTACCTAACAGAGGGCACGAATTGGCAGGGGGGTGAATTTGCCATTTCAAGCCCTTTTTTCTGTTAAATTAGCCTGAAAATGTGAAGAGATGGAGGGGGGAGTGTTGTTCCAGTGGGGCATGAGCTGGTTGTGGCCTTGCAGCTGTGGGCACTCTGGGTCAGGAAGGTGCTGTGTTAGCCTGTTACAAAGCTTCTGGACAAACTGTATAAACACCACAAAGGAAATGACAACAACAGGCCACTCCAGAGAGGAAAAACCTCCAGAATGTAAGAGCTCTGAACCAAGGGACAGCTTTGCTCAGCCCAGCTATCACTTACTGGCTTTTATGCTTGCTTTCTTTCTTTCTTTCTATACTAGACTTTTTCTGGGCACTGATGTGTTCACCCCACCCAAAGAACAGCCCCTGAAGAGCTCTCCTGTAGGAGGGAGCTCCGGGGAAAGCACGGATTCAGCCAGTGTTTCGTCGTGTGAGTTCAATCACTCCGAAACTGAGGATGTGTGTGTGACTCCCGTCTCTAGTCCTGAGGACCCTCTGAAAAAGGTACAGCTGGGGCCTCTGCATGCTGCAGGCAGGCCCAAAACACTTGGCCTTGACTAAAGCATTTGTTTTAGTGAAATGGACAGAGAAATGTGTAAAAATGGAAGTAATCCAGTCGGGGCTCTTGCACAATGTTTTGTGTTGTCCCTTACAGGGGGTTTGTTCCTGTCAGGAAGCTTTTGAGCAAGGCAGAGGGAGAGAAAGGCAAATGCTGAGCAGGGGAAGGAAGGGGGCAGTTTCAAGGAGAATGGCAGAGAGGAGGGGTGTGTATTTCCACTTGTGTAAATGCTCTCACCTGGAGCAGGAGTGCCTGGGACACCCTCTGCCCCTTCCCAGCCGGTCCCAGTTCCTGGCTGGCTGCCCACAGCCTCATCCTGTTCCTTGGATCTGCTGCCACCTCCTGGGCTGCTCTTACTGCGAGGCCAGAGCATCCCCAGCAGGACAGAAACTGTCATTAAAATGCTGTAATCAATCAAGTGAAGTTCAGTTCTCAGTTCAGGAGGCAAGGAATGCCCCTGCCAGCAGGCTGGGCAGTGTGGGTGTCTGAGGTTTTGTCTGTGCCTTCTGCAGTCTCTGTTCCTCTGGCACATGACACAGCCAGACACACTTTGTGACAGCACTTTCCTTTCTGTTGTGCAGATCTCTGGCTACTCCTTATCCTCCTGTTCTCCTGACTCTCCCATGAGCACGCCTTCCTCAGGGGTGTCATCCTTACCCTCATTCCTGCTGGCCTCCACCGACGACAAGAGCTCCGTGGGCTCTGACAAGGGCTATGACTCTGACAAGGGCTCCATCAGCTCTGACAAGGGCTCAGGCTGCAGCAAGGGCTCCACCTGTGACGCTGGCTCAGGCTTGGACAGCGGCTCCATGCCCTGCAGGGACTCAGGCCCGGTGCTGAGCAGTGCCCCCAGAGCGCTGCCCGTGTACAACCGGCAGAGCGAGGGCTCCTGCATCATCCGCGTCAGCATGGATGGGCTCCAGGACAGCATCTACAAGAGCATCCTGGTGAGTGCCACGGCTCTGGGCTCGGCAGCTGTGCCCATGGGGGGTGACTGAACCCTTCACTGCCTTCTGAGAGCCCCCCCTTCACTGGGTTGGCTCACCAAACCTGGCTGCAACGGGAAAATGGCACGTGGTGCAATGCAGAATGGAGCCTGGTAGGAACGAGATGCTTTGAAACAGCTTTAGGGGAGTTTCTGCTCTGGAAATGGGAGTTTGTGTTTTATCAGAAAGCTCCTGGTGAAGCACTGTGAGCACATTGAGGTTTTGACATAAGATGGTACATTTTCCCTCCCTTCAGCAGCTTTCCCCAGGAGCTGGTTTCTGGAAACAGGGAGCTGACGCACCCTTTAATTCCACAGCTTCTCCCAGTGAAGGGAGAATCTCCCTCCTCTCACCAGACCAGCAGCCCCAGAATTCAGGCATTTCCCTCTCTGCTTATTCCACAGACGTATCCCAGCAATGCCACTGGTGCTGGACTGTGGGTGAAGTGGCTTAGCTCAGCTGGGGGAAACAAAAGCGGGATAAGTTCTCAGCATCTTTAGTTCTTGATTTTAATGGTCTCACTTCCCCAAATCCAGCTAGTTGTTCCTTGAGGGCCTGATGGATTTGGCTGCTGGTGAGACTGCAGGAGGCTCTGGAGACTGCTCCAGATGCACTTCCTCAGCACACAGCAAACCCAGCTACAAGGCCAGAAGGCTTTGCAGGATGTCCAAGGGAGCACTCAGCACAGGAGTCTGCAACAGCAGCTGGGGCAGCTCTTCACAGGGGCTTCAGTGGCTGGTGAGAGTGACATCTCTCAGAGGGAGCAGACACTGGCATCTACTGCTGTCTCTACTAGTACTGTACCTGTGTCAGCTTGAACTAAAAAGCCACCACCTCCAAATGTCAAAAGTGCCAAGTTTAGTATCTGTCAGCACCTGCCCCTTTGTTACTCACCTGTGCTTTCAGTTCTCTGACATCTCTTTCAAGAACAAACAGTCAGGTTTTTGCTAACTACTAAATCACAGGAGTGAATGAGAAGAATCTCTCATTGCACCTTATCTCTCCAGATAACCAACCAAGACAGAATCCCTGATGTCACCCAGCGAGCCTTGCTGAAGCACAACCTCGAGCCTGATGCAGTTGAAGACTATGAGCTCGTGCAGGTCATCTCTGAGGACAAAGGTAGGGAAGCAGAACTCTGCTGCTGCCTGGAAAGTTCTGTTGGATTTCAAAGGGAAGAGTAAAACGGGAAGCATTAGAAACACTGTTGATGGGTCACAGCTGCCAGTGAGAACCCCCTGGCTGCTCAGGGGTGGTTTCTGTCAGCACAGCCCCCTTCCCACAGGCAGAGCCAGCTCCCTGTTCTGCCAGGCTGACTTCATGTGTGCCTTGCAGCCATGGGGTGACCACAGGATCTTGGGTGGGGGTGATGTTCTGCCTCCCTGGCACCAGGCCCTTGGATCCCACCCATCATCAGCCTTCTCTGAGAGTCTGCCAGGGCCTCTGCCAGGCTGAGCACGCTCCCTTTCCCCCTGCTCCCAGTGCTGCTGTGGCAGAACAGAGAGCTGGCCCTGCCCACACTGTCCTGCTCCCTGTCCTGTGTCAGCTTTGCTGCTGTGCCCCTCCCCACTAACTCTGCTTGGCCCTGTTGTGCAGAGCTGGTGTTCCCCCGTGATGCCAACGTGTTCTACGGCATGAACAGCCACGTGAACTTCGACTTCATCCTGAGGAAGAGGGCAGAGCTGCTGGGCTGAGGCTGCACCTGCACTGCCCTCCTGGGTTACAGGGAATCTGTCAGAATCCCCTGCTGAAAATGTGCAATTGGAGCAATGGGCAGCCCTGGTGCAAGGCTCCAGGCTGCTGCATTTGTCTTGAGGACACCCCATGAGCCATCTCTGTGAGAAAAGGGTCTCCTTCATGCCAGTATTATACAGAAAAAGATCATCTGAACTTATTTTTATAGAACTGAAGCAAGTTCTGAGTATGTCTGCCTGAACCAGCTGAGAATTTTTTGCACTTGTTCCACACCAGAGAATGACCCATTTTGGATCTTGTTTCCAAAGAACTTTAAAATGAATGAACTGCACTTGCCTTTGCATGAACATCATGAATGGGACAAACACTGCTTTGTGTTGGATGGAGGTCTGAATGTCACAACGGGGAGGTTTCCCTTGGACTTGGTTAAGCCATGGACCAGAACCTGATGCCTTTTGTGTGCACTCCCATGTGATGGAAGATGTCCTCCCAGTGTGCAATTCCTCTGCTGGAACTGAAATCTGAACCTCTTCAAAAGCCATAAGACAGACGTTGGATTGTAAGCAGCCCTGGTTTGAGACACATGAAATACACAGAGTATTTCTGGTTCTGCTGGTAGCACTCTGCATCCCTGCACAGATCTAGGAGCTATTATCCAAACAGACAGCTTAGGATTCTTAAGGATCATTAGTTAAAACAGAGTTTTATCCATGCCTGGGCCTTTTACCCCCAGTTCTGTGGCACTAATTTGCAGCACTGGGCTCAGGTAAGTTTTACACTACATTTGGATTTACCACTTCTGTTTACAGGTAGGTAAAACAGACCAACTGTAGGTCTGCTGTACATCCAATGTACAGAGTCCTATGGCAGGTGCCACAAGCCTGGTGTAGGTCACAGCCTGAACAATTTATGAATTCCAGTTGTTTGTTAGAGGGTGACAGAGTGGGGGTGGTTGTTACTGAGCCTTAACCTTTGCCCAGAGTTAGGGCAAAACTAGAAGTTCAGTTTTCTCTGCTTTTGGTGTCTGTACAGTGCAGTTCCTTGTGTACATAGCATAGCTCCTACTGTATATAGTACTGCTCACTCAGGAGGGTGTATGGCAGTGTTAAGCTGAAACATAAATGTTCTGGATTTTAAAATTACACTTTGCAAATGTTTATATATGTTATGTTTTTAACTGCTTACCTGTAATCTTTATATGATAAGTATATAAATTGTTTTTCATTAATATTTGCCTGGAATCAGTCAATTTCCTTTTATTAGTGCATGTCAGATGTGTAAAAACACCTTACACCACTTCCCTTGCTGTCACTTTCTCCAGCCTCTCCACTTCTACTGTTTTAACTTCTCAACAGCAAAGCCAAAGCCCTTCCAGCCCATCAGCCATGCACACAGCAGCCTCTGAGAGATTGGGATCTTTGTGCTGTTTCTTGAGGTGTCAGCTTGAAGATTTCAGTAACTGGGTAATTACGATTGCACACCAGTTTTATGTCTTCTGCATTAAATTATTCTCTTTTGAGCCACTGAATGACTTCTGAGGACAGATAATACAAAGTAAGTGCTTTTGAGTGTGTCCATTTCTCACCATTGTCTCAATCATGGTGTTTTTCCTCCTGCTCTCACCTTGTTGTGTTTTCCCCTCCCTGCACACAATACAACATTCAGATTAACAGTTTACACACTACAGCCCCTTCTGCCATCTCACAAGTCACTTCAGCATGAGGGGAGGCTCCTAAAGCTGCCCACAAGTCTCACACTCAGTCCCTGAACTACAGTGCCCTGGCCACTTAAAGGCCTCTCATGTTGCACTAAGGAAGACAAAACAAAGAGTACCTGAATCTGATTTTTAAACTACCTCAGGCCACAAAACCCAACACCAGGACCTCACTCCATTTCCTTCAGGATCAATACAATCCATTGGTGAACTTGGAATTTCACATGCCATATTGAGAGCACAACAGCACTTTTCCATCCTTAACCCACAGCAAGGACCAAGCTGGTGGATTCCAAGCAGTCCCTACTGCAATTAATCATTTTTAGGGCCTGCCATCACAGCCTGCCTCATGAAGAAGCTGCCAGAAGGCTGGTTCAAAGCTGGTGCTCCTGCTCAGTTCTGAAACCCATTAGCTGAGTCAAAAAAAAAATACAAAGTTGTGTCAGGGACCCAAGGTCATGCCTAAGGCACTGCCATATTTAGCCTGTGGTTGTACACATCAACAAGATAATGAAGAACACTTTATTGTTTAATGGAGGGAACCTGACCCTTGAAAGAGAACCAATGGATTGGTGCATTGACAGGAAGTTAACCTGTGGAAGAGGAACAATACTCACTGGAGCTGTGGCCAGCATGGAGGGGCTATCATGAACGACTCTGGCCTCATCTCACACTGGCCACACATGAGATGATGCTGTAACTGGAAAAATTCCACTCCAGAGGGGGAGGTCCAAGGCCTGGTGCTGGGGTGGAGGGAGTGAAGATTTCCAGCGTCCTTCACACAGGCCATGTGGGCTCATCAAGCAAGAGACCTGCGAAGGAAGCAAGAGGGATTGTGAGGAGGGAATAACCCAGGCTGTGTGTGGCCCACGGGGCAACCTCCATACTCACCAGGTTGTGTGGGCATCTGCTCCCACATGGACACCAGCAGGAACTTGGCTTCCAGGTGGGAACTGCACAGTCACAACCAGTGACTCCATGGGAGAGGGACACGGCCAGGAATCCCTTCCATTAACCTCCAGTTACATTCAGGGGCAGGCTTGGAGGAACCTGGTCTAGTGAAAGGTGTCCCTGCCCATGGCAGAGGGTTGGACCGAGTCACCTTTAGAGGTGCCTTCCACAACCCAAACCATTCCAGGACTCTCCCACACAATGAAGAACACACAGAGCTGCTCATCTTGCACCAGGTTCTATGTATTATCAGACCGGCTGACAGGTAATAACATGTCTTCTGCAGCAGAAAGCACAACATTGATCAGTAATTATTCAAAACAAACAAAATTAAAACCAAAACCCCAGCCACACATACTCAATGCACAGATCTGCCAGCAGGTGAGCCCCCAGATGGCAATTCCAGGAGGGAATCCTCCTGCTGCCCAGAAGCTCAGGGTCTGTGCCAGTATAGTCCATGATCACCTGGCCTCTGAGAAAGGTTTTTTTAAAAAAAATAAACACCATATCCTGCTGGCATGTGAGCCAACAGCAAAAACATCAGAACTCATCCAAAACACAGAAAAGTTCACTCCTCACATGAAAAAATATCCAGGCAAGTCGCCCTTCCGTCCTGTGACACACAATTCTATCGGGCTGTTGAGAGAGTAACATTGCTGTAGGTTCTTTTGGTTTTAGAAGGAGAGTTTGTAACCTAACTTCTTACATTTTAAGTTCCCAAAACTCCTACACTTGCTTTTATGGCCTGAAAAAACAGGCCTGCCAATAGGTCATGGGGTTTTGTTTTCCTGAAGGACTAAGTTGAGGCAGGGGTGAAGCAGGATGTGACATGGACCAGCTCTGCCTGCATTCCCTTCAGGCAATGCAGAGATAAATAAATCCAGCTACCTCCACTTGCATGGCTTCCATGACTTCAGACATTCCAAGACATCTGTTCTGGATCCAGAGGCCTGTTTAGATGGGATGCAGCAAGATTAAAAATGAGCTGATGGGAAGCCAGCACTGGTTTTGTACAGGAGTGTGACGGGGAGAAGACACAACAGAGGAGCACTGCTCTCCTGCATTGAACGCTTTGGGGAAACATCTTGATTCTGATAGGGATCCCTTTGGAAAACAAACCCAAATCCCCCAGATGCTCAGCAAACAGGGTGGTAAAAGCCTACAGACCTACAAGGAGTAACAGTGAGGGAGCAGCCCAGGTACAGCCATCCCGAAAGGCACTGACATTTGTACACCTCTATATGTTAATCTTTATAAATACAGTGTTCTACATGAGGAACTGTGGAACCAACGTCATTCCAGGCTGGTTTCTTCCAACAAAAGCTTGCCAGGGCTTCTGCTTGGATCTGGAACTCTTGTTCTGCTTCCTCCTTGGTGTCCCACCCTGTCCTCGGCGGCTGGGCAGGTGTCCGGCCCAATCCCGCGCACGGCCCTTGGGAGTGGTGGGAGGGAGACCACATGAAGAGCTGCTCTACAACTTTCAAGGGTGAAAAGCTAAAGTGTGAGGCAGGTTCAGCTGTCAACAGAGTCCCGGGGAGGTGGGCAGTCATAGCTCATCCCTGGCTGACGGCGTGTCCAGGGAGGACTGGGAGGGCAGGGCGTCCTTGTTCTGGGCATCGCTGTGGATCTTGCCCTGCTGCCGGGACTTCCAGGAGTGCGTTCTGTCCCAGTCCGTGGACACGGTCTCGTTGTCCCAGATGGTGGAGGTCTCCGTGTCGCTGAGGTAGCCTGGCTGCCCCGTGTAGTGCGTGGGGTAAACAAGCAGGGGTTCTGCTGAGAAGGCCTTCAAGTCTCTGGGCTCGTAGTACTCCATGTACTTTGTGCTACGGAGGAGAGAAACGCTGTCAGCAACAGAGGAACCCTCACTGGTGCCAAGCTTGTCCCTGGGAGACATGGCCAGTCCAGGGAGCAGACTGGTCTGGGAGTGGGTGTAGGTGCTGGGGTACAGCCAGAACCATGTCCTTACAACCACACACACCTGTACAAACAAAGCTTGCTCCCAGAGACAGACAGGTGCCTCAGACAAGCAGCCCACAAGCCCTGCCCCAGGCATTCCCTTCTGTCACCTCCTTTGACCTGTGCCAGGAGGACAAAACCAAGCACCACAAGGAATCCCACCAACCAGGCTACCAACAAGACCTGGTTTAAGATCAGTCAGTGAGACCCAGTCCATATCCCCCCGAGCCACAGAGGGACTTACACAGGGTGCTTGTTGTACATGATGGGCAGGAATTCATCCACGGGCAGCATCTTGCTGAAGGGCTCAGCCCCGATGAGCTTCTGAGCCCCGTGGAAGGAGATGGCATAGCCCAGGGTCCAGTAGGAGTAATCAGCCTCCACCAGGTTCCGGACATTGGGAACAGCTCTCTCGGGCTCCTGCACCTGCATCCTTTTCCGGCCAATGTAGCTGCAGGGGTCAGAAGATCAAGGAGATGGGACCAAAGTGAATCCATAGTGTCACAGACACATTTCATGAAGAATCTTTTCCTTAGGATTTTTCCTCCTGAGAAGATGAGAGGCCTCAGGAACAAAATGTAACCAATGGTTATCTGCTGCTGTGGAATGTAAGAGGTGCATCTGGGATTGGCCTCATGTGGTTGTTTCTAATTAATGCCCAATCAGAGTCCAGATGGCTCAGACTCTCTGTCCGAGACACAAGCCTTTGTTATCATTCTTCCTTTTTCTATTCTTAGCCAGCCTTCTGATGAAATCCTTTCTTCTATTCTTTTAGTATAGTTTTAATATAATATATATCATAAAATAATAAATCAAGCCTTCTGAAACATGGAGTCAGATCCTCATCTCTTCCCTCATCCTAAGACCCCTGTGAACACCATCACACCATGGCAATTAGGACATGACTGTTTGTGCCAACCAGGCCAGGGCAAAGGGTCAATCCCAGAAGCAATCCCTGACCCAGCTCACAGATTTCTATCCTGCATCACAATCCAACTCTTAACCCAGTGGGTGGGACAGCTTGTGAGAGGCTTCCTAAGGGAGCTAAGATGACACAGTCTGAGGCTCAGGACTGAGCTGTGCTGGTTGCTCTGTCAGCATCTCCAACACAGCTGAGGTCCAACCACACTGTCCACACCATGGGCAGGGATGGTGCCCTGGCAACAGCCACCCCACAGCATGGTGGGAAGAGCTACCAGAACACTGTGCCACCATCCCCTGCACTGCAGCATCAACCTGCACCTCTGCCACGCCCCAGCAGTGCTGCCAACCTCCCCAGGTGCCCAGGACCTCCCAGAGGAGCAGGAACTTACATCAGCTCCCAGTCTAACTGGGCTTGCTCGATGTCGTCCATCAGCCTCATGAGCTTCCTCTTGAACTGGTGCTCGAAGCGCACGTCATCCTCAATGACCAGTGTCTTCTCCAGGCCCCTGCTCACCACCTGAAACACGAGGGCTCCAGTGTGAGCACAGTTGCCCCCATGGGTGCCCTGCTGTCACTGGGACCACCCTGACCTGGCACTGCCTCCCAGACCACACAGGCAGGGAGCTGAGAACCACTCTGTGACATACACATGATATGCCAAGCCACTGGAACTTGCTCCTGCT